TCTCTCTACTCTCTCTCTCTCTCTCTCTCTCTCTCTCTCTCTCTCTCTCTCTCTCTCTCTCTCTCTCTCTCTCTCTCTCTCTCTCTCTCTCTCTCTCTCTCTCTCTCTCTCTCTCTTTCTCTCTCTCTCATTCTCTGTGCAACAGAGATGACTCATCTCGTATTAATTCTTCCGGGACCGACGCAGATAATCAGCTCCAAAATTATTATACGGTAACAACGTCGATTAATTTTCATATCTTTAATGACGTTACAATTAAGTTTTATGTCATTTACAAAATTTCAATTTGTTAAATAACGTCACGTGTTGCATTGATTTAAAAAGAGCTACAAAAACAAATATTCGTATGAAGAAGATTTATCTATTTACGAATCGGAGCTGGAGAATCAACTTTTGCGGCAACAGGCGCGACGGAACATTAGGCGATCGTTAATTAATAGACATCATAAAACCAACGCGTTGCGCAGACGTAGCGAAAAGAAAAATAGAGCGAAAAAAAAGCAAGGCAAAGAGAGAAAGAAGAGAAGTCGATCGGCGTGTGATTTTTTTTTTAGCCAAGGAGGTAGGCCCTGCAAGTGCATCTTAATACGATTCAACTTGCCCTGTCAATAAATAAACCTTGCGTGTGTCGCGTATTGCAATATAATGTTGCGCCGTGTAATATATAAACAGTGAATAACATATATATAAAATCATAAAACGATAAAACAAAATAAAATAAATTATCCAATATATTAATATATATACTTAATAAATCTGAAATAATATATTAATATTCTGGTTATATATTATTAAATTATAGGTATATGCGTGTTCGGTAGCCTTAACTATGCAAAGTGCCCCTTTTCTGCAAAAAAGAGAGAAGATCGACGGTAATATCATTTCATCACAATATTGCGGTTTGGCTCTTTGAATAGCTATGGGACTTTGCGTATTGCATGTACACATGTCTGTATGTGTTCCTCTTTACGTGTGCGTGTGTGTGTGTGTGTGTGTGTGTGTGTGTGTGTGTGTGTGTGTGTGTGTGTGTGTGTACAGGAGTGTTTTCCAGTGACCCCCATTAAATAGGAAATTACTTGTTGCAATTATATGACGATAACCAGCATCGATGGATAGCAATTTTTAATTCTAATTCCTAAATTCGATATTAAAAGAGCAAAAAACCAATGATGATGAAAAACTTTTTCGGTCGCTCGGAAAAAATCTGAGGTTGCCAAAATAAAGGGGTTGCTATTTTTTTATTATTAACATTAGAACGTTTAAACGCATGAAGTGTTTCGCTCTGACTCTTGATTCCGTTGTTGAATTTGGTACCAACTTTATAGATTAGCTTTATAGATCTATTTAGATCTCATGTTGTCCGCAATCTGAAAAGTTGAACGCTGTGCGGGGATCGCTATGCTCTCGTTTCAGAAAAGTTACCCCTGTGTTCTGTGTTGTGTGTTTTACGCCTCTACTCTTTTAGGCGCCTGTCCTCTTTTCATGCGTATGCGTATGTAATTATGTATGTAAAAGTGTCACCGAAAGTAATTAGGACATCATGTCTTTAAACAACTTTTGGTTTTACCGCGGAAAAAACCAAATGCGAAGACTTCTGAATTTTGAACTTCGAAATGTCAGATGGATTAGATAACACCGGCATTTAAAGAAATGATTTCTCAATTACTTTTGAGCGATATACATTTATCTGCATTCCTCGTAAAATCATATGTTATAATATATATTATATATATATAGATAGATTATACACGTAAATTTCATGATGTACGAAGGAAAAAAAAACAAACAAACAAAGAAGAAAGAAGAACAAACAGATTGCACCCCAACCAATTAAATATCAATGTGCAATGACGATACGAGTATCGTGACCATCCCTTGAATAAAATTAATCTTTAACGTAACTATATCTCCAACCAATGATAGATTATTAGTGTGTGGTAGGTTATATAAAGTATAAAATATAGAGTACTCTATAAATCAATCCAATACGAATAAAACCTTATTTGTTGCCTACGCACTTAAGTCCCGAATCGTGGAATGTCTCCGTGATTTCCACTATTTATTCCTCGCATTATAACAGCGCGGCGTGCGGCTTAACCGTTATTAATATTATAGACTTTAGGTGTTAATTAACAAGTAACGTGGGTTTTATAGTCAAAGTTCATATTAGGACTGCAAGGCGCGCTACATAACGTACTATCAAAATTTCACGAAACGTATAGGACAGAAATTTCGTTGTCGCTCGATTTGCGTTGCGTGTTTTTTTTTTTATTCGCGCGTGCACATGTGTTGCTGCTGTTCGCGTGCACGCGTGTGAGGGTGTTCGCGTATCGCGGATGCGTGTCCTTCGTGGTGCCGACCCTTGCGTGAGCTGCGCCCCGTGTAACCGCGTGTGAAAGGTCAGAGTGTAAGCGTCCGTATCGTATGTATGTGTGTATGTATGTATGTATTGTGTGTTGCATGTAACACTTGCGTGACTATGGAACACGCATGTGCGTCGATGTGCACGCGTACGTTTAATATTGCTACTTCCCGAAGGCTGTTAATACATTACGATTACAATCTAATATGAAGTCCAACTATAAACTCTTCAACAACTATACGACTCACCCTGCGTATCGAATGGATTACTCCCAGCGACTCAGCTTTATAATTAATAGATATCGTTATAATTAATTGATTCATTAATATTCTTTCCGGCTGCCGTCTCGCCGTCCCGACCGGATCGGCAGCAGCATCTACGGGAGGAAATTGGCACCACGTTTGCTCCCATTTTATATATATTTATATATTTATATATATGTATTTATATTAATTATGTAATTAAATCCGCGCGTACATACACTAACCGCGCGAACGATTCGCATCGTTTCAATCACGCGACTCTCCCCGCAGCATTCGCTAAAAGTATCGGCGATCGGCACAACGCTCCTTTTTCTTACCGTGGGAAAAAAAAAAAAAAAAAAAAAAAACAGATAAAGCTGCCCGGTCTTTGGACAACATCGTGGCGCGGACGAGATTGTCGCACGTCATGGACAGCGCGTTGATCATATCCGCGATATATCGGATCACCGATCGGCGACGAAACGTGACGACCTAAGCACGACGGTTCCGCGCGCGAAAGACAGAAGGGTTAATCTCTCTCTTCCGCGAGCGCGTTTCCCTCGCGCGAGTGAGAGAACCCGCCGACAAAGCGACCTGCGCTAAACGATGCGGCTCGTCTCGAGTCGACCGATCGATCAACAGCGCCGCGATTGAGAGCGACCACCCTGGCTATTCCACTTCGATTGTTCGCGATTGTTCGTGATATACAAGATTCGGAAAGATCGCGTAGGACCTCCCTCCGCCGAGAGTTCGTTCAGAGAACGTGCCGAGTGACGAAAGGGAGGTCTCGCGATCTTGCGCGATCCACTTTCGGGTCGGCGTCGAATCGGTTCGACCTCCCGAAGAGTCGAGGAAGAGCAACGGCGTTGTCGTTGCCACTGTCGCGCGTACGCGTTACCGAGCCTCCCTCGTCCGGCGAGACAAATCGAATTTGAGTTTCATGATCGCGACGACTTCTCGGTTCGGCACGAGGGAGGACACCCTCGCGACGCGGAGCGTCGGCCTCGAGATCGCGGCCCGCGGCTGCGTTTCGCACTTCGCGTATTCGCCCCGCTATTCGGCAACTCGAAGGGGGAAAAAAAAAAGAAAAGAAAAAACTTAGCCCTCACAGCGCTTCGTTAGCTACAACAAGCCCATTCCCAAAGAAAATCACCGCACACTAAACTGTACACATCGCTGTATATTAATCTTTTCTGTTCCATTTTTTTTTTTTGCAATTTTTGCGATTTTCATTTGTTAAAAAAGACCCCTACAGGAGAAGTTCTCTCGATATCCCTTAAGCGTAAAACCTACAAAAGATTTGGTGTTCGAGAAAGAAGAAAAGCCGAGAGAGACCGGCCCTTTTCCCCCCAATGGCCGTAACTTCAGGACTGTATTTTCGCCGAAATTTTATGCGGAATACCCCCCTGCGGCTGCGGCCACCCGCGCTTCTCTCAGTGTATATCCATCGTTTATATATATATATATAATTTTTGGGGGCGCGCGTATGTTATATATATTATATTTCAATATATATGTATATATGTATATTGAAATATATATTTAATATATATTAAATATATATATTAAATATATATATATATTTATCTCATTTATATATTTTCTTATATCCCTTCCGGTGTCTTTAGGATAGCGTGTTCATGGTGTCGTTGCCCGTTGAGAGCGCCAACGAGCCCGCCATAAAGTCATTAAGATCGATCTTTCTCGCTTCGGGGTGTTTGATTTAAAGTGCGTGCGCAGGTTGTCGCTACGTGTGTACGTGGCACGACAGAGAGGACACTCAAACCTGCCGGGGAAGTGGACGTGGTAGTGGTTCCTGATGTGCGTCACGACCTTGCCGCACAGCTTGCACCTGTGAAGGTTGCAGCCGCCTGGCACCCGGTCAAAGGTCAGCCGCATGTGCCAGGCTTTTGAACCTGCAACATCAACACAAGACAAGTCACTTTCAACTGTTGGCTTCCACGCGGCGAGTGCCGGTCGCCGGCACTCGTTCTCTCGCTCTCGCTCTCGCTCTCTCTCTCTCTCTCTCTCTTTATTTTTTCCGTTTTTATTTTATCTGATTTTTTTCGTCATGTTTACTCTGATTACGTTATTGTTACTTCTATGCCGTTTCCGTGCTGCTTTCGCTTTGTGGTATTTTACTTCGATACTTGGTATTTTTTTTTGGGGGGCTCTACAGCGGCTTTTTGAGGGTCGCCGGATCCTTGGATACTCGGGTAAGATATTCAATTCTGTGGAAGTCTCTCGGATTCCAGGATCGAGTCGAATCCTCGAATCCTCGGACCAGAACAGCGGACGCATCCCCCGGTTGGGGTCTTGGAATCTTTGGATTCTCGAATTCTTGGAAATTCTGAGATCTCTAGATCACCGAGTCCTAGGATCTTGAGACATTCGATCTTCGGAATCTTGAACCTACAGATACTCGGCTTCTCGAATCCTTGGATTCTAAGATCCCTGAGGTCTTGAGTCCCCTGGGGTCGTCGAACATTTAACTCCTCGCAGATGTAAACAAGATCCCTCCGTATCCTTGGATCCTCCGATCCTGATCTCACTCTCGTTAATTTCGCGCGTTCGTCGTTCCCGAGTTCTTTTATAATCGCTTGCTTCCCTACCTCTCTACATCTCTTTCCTTTCTCTTAAAAGTCCTCCCCTTCTTCTCGCGAAATGTTACTGTGTATGTATATTATAAATATGTATTGTATATCCTAATCGCGCGTTAAATTGCTAGAGACAGACAGAACGAGGAAACAACAAGCATTTCACTAAACATATGAATAATAAAACAAAAATTTTGTTCCTCTTATCGCGATGAAAGAAGTACCGTAATTTTGAAATATAGCTTTCCTTTTAATTGAATAAATTGAATTTGATCGTGTATCACGGGGAGAAAACACAAAGCTCTTGAACTAAAACGTGCAATAGATTGGTTCGTGAATTTTTACAATTTTTTTTACAATAAATCGAAAAAAGTACCTCGTTTAAGAATCGATCGCTCGTTACTGTGACGTTCCCTTTGAGGCGTCGCTATTCTTTACGGATTGCAAGACATTGTATCGTTTAAATAAATTTAAATAAATTGAGCCGCGGGCTCATATCCCACGAATAACTACCTCCTCGCACGAGACATAGTCTCTATTTTCTCCGTACGCGAGAGACGCGCTTAATAATTTCGTATTTAAAAACATGGAATTTCGCTTTGTGAGAGGCGCGAACTCTTACGAGCCATTTTCGCAAATATCAGACATGAAAAAACGCGGCGGTAAGGAATAAATATTAAATCAAGCGACACTTCGGGCTAGCGAACTAAATGAGCAACGCCACCAGTCTTGTATATTTAACACGAATTTTGCACTGCTTTCGTAAAACGACAATGGCTCACGTCATACAAGTTGAAAATGGCAAGTTTTTCGAAATTATCACAAAAACTTCGACATACTGCATTTTTTATTTTTATTCCAATTTCTTTCGATTTTTTTTTTTTTCATCTCTGCTCTGCTTTCTCCGAGATTACCCAGGAAATCTATTTTATACAATTATTTATTATTATTGTAGTCTAATGGAAATCTAACGTCTGGATATGCGATTGTCGTTCGAAGATAATGCAAAATACCTCTTAAAGACGAGCATCAAATAACGAATCGGAGCTATCTCGAAGACACACGACGCGCGTCTTCGAATGAAGCGCAAACACTTGCCTCTCGACGCGATCGAAATGTGAGATACTCGAGGCAAACGACGAGAACGTGCGATTAAAGCGTCAGACGTAAGTCCTCGTTAAACATCGATCAAACTCCAAACCAGTGCGATTAATCAAAGAAAAAGCGTAAAATGGGCGTACAAGTTTTGTGCATAGGCAAAGCGAGCTTCTCTTTCGTTTTTTTCCCTTTTCCCAAAAAATCGCGTTACCGCTTGCTCTAGTGCTCGATATTAATACACGTGCCATAAACAATTAATCTGTCAATATCGAAAGCAAAAAAAAAAAGAAAAAAAAAGAAAAATCATCACCGAACCAAGCCACATTTCTATCGCTAATGAAATTATCATTTTCAACGCATAGGCTTTCTCCAATGAGATTCCAGATTCGTTCAACGTTCAACGTCTCAGACAGCTAAGTTATGATCCGCGAGTAACTTTGCCTCAAGAAATTAGGCGGCGCATCGCGTGTCCGACATTACGCCGGTCGGGCTAATTAATTATTGAAATGATACGTATACGCAAGACGACCGAAACAATTATACTCCCATATCCTAATACACGAGCGAAACGAGCTTGTTGTATTATTCAAGAACGCCAAATGGTTCTGTCTGTCTCGTGGCACGAGTGCCCGGCCCCGAAATCTCACAAACGGAAGAGATAGACCCAAAACGTAATGGAGCACTTCGCGAGCGATGCGATGCGATGCGATGCGATGCGATGCGATGCGGTGCGGTGCGGTGCGGTGCCCGGCCGCTTGCGGAGCGCTCGCATATGCAATGAGTATGCGCGCTGCGTTGTGCAGTGCATAAACTCAATAATGTCGTGAAATCCCCTCGCCGAGAGACGCATGGAACACCTCAGAACGTCAAATCCCTCTTCAAGCCCGCGGTTCTTCACAGAGCTTAGAACGTCAGATTCCTCTCCCATATTCACCCTTGTTAAAACGAGCAATCTGCGCGTGTCCATTCTGCTTAATAACGAGTGGAAAAAAAAAAAAAAAAGATTTGACATATCACTTTGCTCGAAAAATTGTAGCTTTTCCGAGGAAATAAAGCGGAAATGATAATTTCAGCTTACGTCAGTTGAAAATGTTTGATGCGACCGACAAAATTTACGCCAAGAAGATACGTATGTTTCAAGAAATGTATAAAACTATTTTAATTTATCTTTGTGGAGAGACGCGAACTGTGAATTGAAAGTGATTTACTCCTCGACAGACTCCGTGCGACAGGGAAATGACACTCGAGATGCTCCATGATCTGGAAAAATGGAGTCCCTGAAAGCTTGCACCGCCATTCGGACTGATCAATATTCGTTTTTACGTGTCTTACTTAGCGTATTTGCACGTATTTCCCGGGGATATCCCGCCGACGATCATAATGGAAACATAGGGTGTGAGAAAACTAAAGTATGCCAATGATATAAAAGCTCATAAAAATTTATTTTAATTAGATAGATATACTTAAATCTGCTACTATTTCGAAAAGGTTCGAGCAGATCTCTATATTTAAGAATTTTCTTATATCTTTCGTCATCAGTCTGCAAATCTTTTGGATTGCTTTTAAAAATATTTAAATCCTTGAATGTTAAATTTTCCAATTTGAAAAGAACAGAGTTAAAAAATTAAAAGAAAATTTTTAAAAATATTTTCTTCAATTATGAAAGGAGTAATACGCTGCTATGCACACACGTAATAGGACACCCTATAGAATGCCGTTTATTTTTGTCGGGGGTGAGATCATCTCGGGATCCGAATAGGCTGACTGAACTCTCCAGCAGGAGACTCCATTCCAGCGATACCCCAAGCATGATATCGCGTGTTAACCCCTTGCAAACCGCCTTATCTTCGCGATGGTTACGTCACGTGCCACTTTATTTTGCCGCGAAGTCAGCCAACGTGCGAAGCGAAGCACATTTTAAGGTAAAAATACAAGAAGCCACCGGGGAAAATAATTTCAACTCCGCGGCGGCGATATTTACACAAATAATATTAATCTAGCCCGTGCGAAAATTAAAACTACGTTTTATAAGCTGTCTCGTATCATATATACAAAGAGTTAATTATCGTTATCACTAAACTCTCTACACTTTACTCCCCATTACTAAAAAAATTAGTCGTGTCGGAAAAGTCGCTATTCCGTCGCAGCGACAAAATAACAAAAAATATTCGCGAATTGTATTTACATGTGTAAGTTACAAGACTTACTTTCTTCTATCACCCTGTCTTTCCAAGCGCCTCCTTGTACGCAGCTACTCGAGGAAATGACGGGGCGCGACAAAGGGTTAAATCGCTGTCTATCGTCTCAAGAAAGCCGATTGCCGCCGCGGCTATATCGTCGTATATCGATCGGCTGCATTCACGCTAGCTTCCGTTCTCCGATTAATGCGCGATTTAAATAATATTCGCGTGACGGCGCGGGGGCGATAGAGAAAAAAGGTGAAAGGTCACTCCGCGCTTCCGATCGATGAAAGGACCGGCGCCAAGAAAGGGTTCGCGAAACATGGATATACGAAGGCGAGGAGGGGAAGAAGGAAGCAGACGAGTTAAAAAAAAACTTTCGTCGGTCCCGACGACCGACTTCGATTTTCAATGGAACCCGATCGTCCCCGCGTTACCACTTTTTCATTTCCACTTTTCCAGTTTTCATGACGAGTACGCGCGGAATGCAGCCGCGGGAACGACGCCCCCATCGGTGTTGTAAAAAAAAAAAAGAGGCTTTGTACACGGTCGCTTTTTATTATACATATACACAAGGTTTGAGAGCGATATTTTTAGATATACACGTGTGTATACAAGTGTGTGTACCTTTTTCTCTCTCTTGTTAGTGGCAGTAGCGTCGGTTAGATTCGGTTAGACCAGTGTTTTTCAACCCTTTCTACATGACAGAAATGCCTCGAGATACGCGATCGACGGGATCGACGGATCACGAAGAGATACGATTTTTTTCGAAAGTTGCATATCAATAGCAGGGAGCTGTCGTAACGTAATTATTTCAACGTGGTTTAATTACCAATCAATTTCAACGTAGGTTACGGGATCTGCAAATTAATTTCTCCCGCTATCGATATACCTCTGCCGCACCAAGTCACGGTACACTGTAGTCCCTTTGATCTTGATTTCAATAAAATGAACACGTCACACAACGAGCGCTTTACGAACTCAGCCATTCCGCGAAACGTCCGAGATGTGCTCAGCTATTCGTAAATTCCTTTCTCGAAC